CGTGGAGTATGGTCAACTTTGCTGTATCGGCAGGATTGAACATGGAAAAAACCGTGGAGCTGACCATCATTGGCGGCTAGCAGGCATCCAGCGCTGGTACAAGTTGGAGACATATAAGCAAAGTGCATTATGAGCACGCAGAGGTGAATGGAGACCACATTATTAAACTCAACGTTATCTGCCTTAGAGGTAGGTAACTTAATCTAGGTATCTTGATAGTAGTGTACCTTGAGAATTGCTGGGGCGGGTGGTGCCATTTCGCACTGCCGTCTGACGTCACACTATTACCAACCACCATAAGAACTTGAACACATATTCATAATTGAGGTACCTAGATGTACTTACAAATCAACACTTTAGTCAACTAAAGAATGCTAAGACCTCACGGCCGGCACGGTACATTATAAGTCTTATTTTCCTATCCTAGCATATTAGGCATACAACCTTGTATGGGGAATAACCATCCGGCTACTTACCTCTATCCAACCATTGGCGTCCGCCCTGTTACCATCTACCTCCAAAAGATACCTACCTACTTACTAGGCTTTCTTTCACCTCACATCACCCACACCACCACAACTTAAGGAACATGGCTCATCACGTTCTCCTCCTCGGCGGTGCCGGCAAGGTCTCACGACTGCTGACCCCGTTGCTCCTCAAGCGCTCCTGGAACGTGACCTCGATCATCCGGAATCCGGACCAGGTTGCGGACCTGGAGAAACTAGGCGAGTCCCAACCGGGAAAGCTCTCTGTTCTCGTCCGCAGCTTGGAAGACATCAAGTCCGACGCCGCCGCCAAATCCCTTATCGACGAGGTTGACGCGGACTACATCGTTTGGAGCGCCGGTGCCGGTGGGAAAGGAGGGCCTGAACGCACCTATGCCATTGATCGCGATGCATGCGTGCATTTCATCAACGCTGCTGTTGCTACCCCGTCCGTGACGAAGTTCCTGCTGGTTTCCTATCTCGCCTCACGCAAGGCTAGACCGAGCTGGTGGTCAGAGGAGTCCTGGAAGGCGGCAGAGCATATGAACAATGAGGTCTTGCCGGATTACTACAAGGCAAAGATTGCCGCTGACGAGGCCCTGCACACGGCGGCCAAGAAGCGTGGAAGCGGGTTTGCAGGGATCAACCTGAGGCCGGGCGCCTTGACAACCGAGCCTGCCGGGGGCGTGGAGCTGGGGAAGACGAAGACCAACCGGGGAGATACGAGCCGCGAGGCTGTTGCCGAGGTGGCTGACCAGCTGCTTGCAGCAGACGGGGTCAAGACGAGCTGGGTGGATTTGCTTGATGGTGAGGAGGATATCGAGAAGGCGGTTGAGAGGGTTGTCAGAGAAGGTGTCGATGCTACTGAGGGCGAGCCATTTTACTGAGAAGTAGCTGGCAGTAGCCTAGTGAACTTGAGATGATGATTACCTACTTACTCTCATCACATGAACGGTATGAAAAGAAAAGGGTATAGTGCGCCTCGATCTAAAAGTAACTGCTACTGGGAACCTGATATCAGGGGTGTATCCAAGGTCCTATTCCACTGCCAGTTCACATTGCTCACTCAAGCTTTCCGTCTTTTGGATGCTCAGCAACGAACTCAGGCGGCACCTCGTTCTCACCCTGCCCACTCTCATCTCCCTCGTTATTACTGGTAGCATAAGAGGTACTCCTGCATCCCCTAGACGGTGCCTGATATTGTGAGTTACGTCCATCCTCTACATCATGTTCGTTGTTCTTGTTATCGTCGTCGTCGTCGTCGTCGTCGTCGTCATTAGTATCCACCAAGAGATCGGGCGGCACTTCGTTGTCGCTCTCCGAAGCGTTCGCATTCGTGTCGTCGTGGGCATCGACTGAACTTGGCTTTCCCGGGCTGCCGTGTTCCCTGGTAAGAGACACGGTTCCGCTCATGGATCGGCCCAGTTGCGGAGTCCGGTCAGTGTCCCCTTCATCATCGGCATACCCAGCAGCCCTCAGCGCCTCCCGCAGCATCATATCTCCTACCTTGAATGCTTCCAGCTCGGCTCCAATGGCGCAAATAAGCAGGTTCCAGCCCTGTTCTTGGGCAATACGCAGCGTCCCGTCCAATCCAATCATGACTTCAGCTATCCTGTCCAACTGTGCGTGCATGGTCTCCCCAGGCGTTCGTTCTCTTTTCTTCCCCTTCCCGTCATCTGGTTGTCCGCCCTTCAACTCTTCTCGCAGATGGGTCTCAAAGTCAGTCACCAGTTGAACGGCATCGCGCCATACATCAACTCCTTCCTCCAGCGCCTTGCGGTCCCTAATGACTGCCTGGCGCCTATCTTCAAGCATTTTGATCTCGCTCTCCCACCAGTCCCTCGCCATCTCTATTGTGCGTCTTTCCGGTCGGAGCCGAAGAAACTCCACACCACCAGGCGATTGCTCCGGGCCGACATCATCTCCGCCATTCTCTCCACTGCCAGTGCGGATGACCTCCACGTCCAGGGGTCGGACAGGGGGTCGCTTCAGTAGGATTTCAACCGCCTGGTCTACTTCCCTCAGAGCATTCCGGTACCCGCTCAAACCCGCCTCCTTTTGATTCTTGACATCCTCCATTCGTCCCTCCAACCATCGCTTTCGCTTTCGCAGTCCAATCAAGCGCTCTTCTAACTCGGCAATCTCGCTTGTGACGGCCTCCCTTTCATTGTCAAGCTCCGCCAGCTCCTGCCCGAGGGGTTCTTGAGCATCGTCTTCCATGGCCCTCAGCTCCTCGACCAAGCCCTTTCTTCGCCCAGTGAGCCGCCTAAGCTGCGCAAGAGCCTTCTTGCGTGTACTGAGTGCCGCTGTGAGAACGGCATCTTCTTCGGCTTTCAAGTCTGCAAGTAACGCCATGTTCCTACCAAGCGCTGCCCGTGCGGCACTTAGACCCATAGATCTCCGCCGCGGTTGTCGGACGGGTATAACCAGCTCGTTCCCCTGCGTCTCCCCGATCGCGTCGTGGAGGTCATATCTTGACGTGACGCGTGATACACCGGTCGGTGCGTGACTTCCTACGTCGCTCAGATCAGATCGTGAGCGTGACGGTGCAGCGGTCGGATCTAGGTTAGCAGCTAGGCCGACCGATTGTACATCCAGCAGATGTTGGAGCTCTTTCTGCAGTGCGCGCTCTCGCCTTTGTAAATCACGCCATACCGTGTCAGTTTCGTAGGTCTGCCGGCTGTTGGCTCGCGTTATTGCCTGAGAGTGTGGCGCGCCACGATCAAAAAGGACGCTACTCATGCTGGTGAGAGCTGTTCGGAAAGAGGCGGCTGGATCTAGATGTGGTTGTTGTGGGGGCGAGCCACCATTCTCCTCGTCTTTATATGACCGTCTCGAACGCACAATCGGGGGCGGCAGACGTCGCAAGGGACCTCTTGGATGCGGCTTCGTTTTGGAGTCGGAGCCGGCAAGGCTTGGCTGGTCAGTGTACCTATCAGCAACCGGAGAGCTGTCTTCGTTCGGTGAAGCTCGTCGGAGGCTCTGGTCCAAGAAAACGGAGTCCTCGGGCCGCGGAGAAAGTTCGTCTAGGGCATATTCGCTTGGTTGATTGCGGATTGGTGGACTGGTCTTGTTGTGGAAAGGAAGCCCCGGGTCATCGCCGCGGGAGAACGAGAGACGTGGAAGGTAGGAAGACCTGGATGTCATCATCCCGCGCCGCGCGAGAGGTCTGAAATTGTCGTCCGACTCTTGCTTACGAACGATGTGTCCGAGCTAGCAGCTATACAGTTGTTGGTGTTTGCTCACAGATGGACTAGGTGGTGTAGATCGGGTTCCTGCTGAATGAATATGCCAGTATCAAGAAGGTAGTAGGCAGGTACCAAGCTCAGGAATACTGAAGACTGACGGCGGGCAATATAGCATGTATCCGTATCGGGTGACTGTTGTTCACCAGGTCAAGTCGCATGTGATGGACAACCATGACACGGGAACTGAGCTCTGATGTTACCTCATCCCTACCTTCATCGGTCCATGCAACCCTGGCATCTTGGCAGAGCATCTTGGCAGACCCACTGGGCCAAGGAGGACGGGGAAGCTAGAGTCTCCACTCTCCACGACATGCCTTCCATTCTCAACAAGATACAGGCACCTTATTTAAGATGGTACACTCTCCTTCTCCTTTGCAGCATCGTCTAGATTATCGTACATAGGATGAAGTTCAAACTGTCACTTTATGTTGTAGAGGCTCCAAATTTGTTTTCCAAGATTCGCCTCTATTGTCCTTCTGTCAATGACCTACCCTATTCCTCCGGACATGTGTCCGCGCGTTTCGTATTCAGCATAGCCCTGGAGCCAACTTTGAACTGGTAATCTGTGAAATCTGGCGAAATGTTCGCCCATCATGTTCAGACTCTTGGCTGGACGGCCGAGATAACGATTGCCACCAGCAAGCCATCTCTTGTCATTTGGGATGAACATAAGATCTGGGAGGACATCATAAATTTTCATAATCGTGGTGTACGCGTACCTGCAGGCTTAGACTCACGGCGCCGACGGAGCCTACAGCCCTGGTTGATCGTGATCATTCAAGCCCGCCTTCTGTGTGGGTAGTATGCCTGCTTATTTGGAAGCAGCTCAGCGATATTCGAATGGTCGCATTGCTTGTAGAAGCTCGTCGGAATGTGGTAAGGCTACAAAATACATGGACTCTGCCATGTTCAACCTTGAAACTCTGAGAGCAAAAGGAGCAGTAAGTGTGAGGTCGCTTTCAGGGCTGCGACTTAGGGGGCCGCTCGATAAACTGTCGCTATGACCGGCAGGATAACAGACGTGAGGCTGCGAATGGATGATGGCAAGAAAGACTGGGCTCAATTCGCCGTAGAAGGAGGCTTTTCATACTGGGACGGCGAACCTCAAGCGGCACAATGTGGTTAGAGGTAGTACCACGTCGAGGGCGCCGGGATTTGGCCATGATTGACGATTAATACAATGCATGAAGTCCTTGAATTGGTGCACGTTCGCGCTATAAAGACCAAACAGTCGCTTCACCTGCCAACACCAGATGAAGAAGAAGGCTAGCTGGTAGCTCAGTGGGTAGAAGCCTGGCCCCCCAAACGCTCCACCGCGTCTGCCAGAGACCCGGGTTCAACTCCCGGCCAGCGACCCTTCTTTCGATTCTACCGAGCGAACTTACCATCGTGGAGTTCCCACTCGAGCGGATAATAACTCCTCCTGTTGCGCCCTAGCTGTAGTATTTGCTTCGTCGGACAGTATCCTGTCATTTGGACGTATACAGCCAAGTAGTCGCCGGGGTCCCAGGGAGGCAGTGATTCTGACAAGAGTGGTTTGGCTACCTTTTTGGTACTGCACACGTTACTCAACATATTTGCCTTCTATTCATTGTCTAGGAGATATGACAGGATAGTAAGCCGGTCCATGTCAGATTGCGTTGCTTTTGCCATCGCCACAGGCCATCAGCACCAAGAAGATTTCGAGCAGCTCTGATCGTTCTTAAAAAGATGTTATATATATTGATATAGTCATAATGAGGAGTGTTATTCTTATGATGATATCACAAGTGATCTGGACATCTCTTGATGTCTCTTAGGACCAGTTATGTCTGTTTATCCCCGGGAATAGATGCTACAGTTGCCACGGCCCTCTAGTTAGCTCCCTGTGAGGGCTACTTGCCCGCTGCTATGGTGGTAGACCAGGGTCTTAATCCATGTAATTTGAACTTGACGGCCAGTCCAGAAGGGCTGGTACCTTACATAGTCTCTATGTCTGATACTCGTACTTAAGCCGGCAGTAGTTGCTTCACCTACCCATCACCTCATAACACCAACCATATCCCCGGCAATTCAACCACAACCACGGCCTCAATCCCAACCACAACACCAACGTTGACCAAAAAGCGTGATCTTCTCAATTAGCACCGCGTCAAGCCAAACGGTAAGTTTTCCTCCTTGCACTCCGAAAATAAACTTCAAGTTGCAATCTGCAGCGTGCCTCGTAACTCACATTACTAAAGGATTGTTCACAGTCTCGACGAGTAACCACAATGGGTCGGAAACGAAAGACCCCCAAGCCTACCCAAGTCCAGCATCCCGAGCGACCAGCTCCCGGTGAGCGCCAACAGAGGCGTACGCTCAGTCTGAAGGAGTTGCTGCCGGCGGACCCGGTTTGGGAGTGGCCGACTGTTTCTGTCAAGCGACCAGGTGGCGGCGGCATCTGCGAGATGCTTGACCTAAAGCGCTGCCATGAGTTCAGATTGAAGTTCGCCTTCTATGCGGCCAATTCGTACATCCAGCGGCTTAAAGGCCACGACATCGCCATCAAAAAGCGGATCAAGCGGCGCTTTGACGACCAGATGAGTGAGCTCATCACCGAAGCAATGTGCTTGCATTACGACAAGCGCGAGGAGGACTTTTCTCTGCTCCATACTGAGCCACTGGTGTTCTGGGCAAGGATCCAGAAACAACTGCAGGAATGCGAGTCCAAATCGTTCGTCCTGCATGCATACATCACGCCGCATACCTTGATTCAATTCTTCAAGCTTCTCCGAGCCTCTTGGAAGGAATGTGCTGGCTTGCCGTTCAGCAAAAGCTCCACCTCCGCCTCAGCTCTTTCCATGAGCATCTTGGTCGCCGCTTTCTATAAGAGCGAATTCCCCGGATACGACGGACCGGACCCCAACGTCGTCTATGGCGAGTGGGAGAGGCGTGTGGTCACCGCGGACGGCTGCGACGTCGAGCTGGAAGGCCGTGGCAGAGGCACGACTGACGGCGTGCATATGATGGAGGGCGAAACGGGCAGAAATGTGTATGATGAACTCGTCCAGGCCGGATGGGATGACGAGGAGCATGATGACGACGAGGAATACCACGAGCACGTGGCCAAGGATGACCTAACCGACATGGTGGAGGGTATCGAGGAAATGCAAGTCGACGTGGATCAAGCAGGAGATGGAGTCGTGGTCCCAGAAGATCATGGCACTGGTCGGTTCGATTTGACCAAGCTGAGCGAGGCACTTCCTCAGTAGCACACTTGGGCGCACTCGCTCGATATGGTGTTGTACACGAGAGAAGTTATAGGAGCATGTGACGGGGACACTGAGTAGGCGGTGCGAATGGTACGTCTGAGCCAGAGATGAAGGAACCTATGTATGTACGAATGAGTTACCGGTCCTAAACGCCAAATTAGGCCAATTGCATGTTGTGGGACATGCAGTACTAGAGGGAACGATAGCTGCCAAAGCCGGCTTGGCTTCGGCTGGTAATCAAGCACAACAATAGCAAGGCCCCCGAATAAAATAAGAAGAAACCATGCAAAACCCAGAGTTGAGATACCCGTCCAACCAACAGGGAACCGACGGTCTACCGAGTCCTTTCAAACCATCCGCTTGCACCGGCAATGGCCACGCTTTGGTCCATAACCCATTCGCCAACACCCAGATATCGGTCCACCCAGCCGGTAACCTCTGGATTACCTCCTGTGGCTTTGTCTGTCTTGAAACTGTATCGCATGCATCCCCAGATCCGGGGTCAACATCAGCATAACCCATGTCTTTTTGGTCCTTGTAGTGCGCTCGAGTGGTACTTCGCGGGACGTCGGAGGATGGTTCCGGGAACACTCACGTAAGGCCGGTAGAACGCTTCATTCCTGCCAAAAAGGCCGACACTGTACAGTCACGTCAGTGGCTTGTTTCATGCAGTAAGCATAGGTAAGAGAGAGATGGATGCCTTACCGAGGACGGCGTCAAACGCATAATGGGTTAACCTCCCCAGCTTTGACCATAACCCGAACGTCAGCAAGTTGAGGAGCTGGACAGAAAGGCTTTAGACCTTCGTTTTCCAAAGCAACACGACAGATATCGGGCCTGGAAAAGAGCTGGCACGGACTGCACTCACCACCATGATTGCGGTTGGGGCTATGGATCGTCAGAAGGCTCGCGAGGGGTCGTCCGCGAAAACAGGCGGTGAAGGTGGGCTAGTCTTCCGACTCTGGCGCCAATCCGCAGAACTGATGCTGCTGTAGAGAGACACAATAAGCCGTCTTCCAAGACTCTGGAATTGTAAAGTGTCGATATTGTCTGCTGTTGAGAACCGAAGCTACCTGTAACGCGCTCTCTGTGTCTGGCTGTGGTGGTCGTCCACTGTTATCACAAGACGTCCCGATAAGCTCAGGCGTGACACTGGTGCCGAGTCCACTATCGGCAAGGACCCCGAAAATGCAAATGTGGGCTTGGACAGAGCTTGAGCCTTTCCGGAAGGGGTTAGACAGAGCATCAAGCTGTGACGCGCCGAGTGGAGTCCTGAGACTTTCACTTGGCGTGGAAGGTGGGATGTGTTGAAGTGTTCTTGTTGAGGGATTTCAACCAAAAAAACCCCAGGCCAATCTCAAACATTGTATTTCCTGGCATTTGTCTCTCCGTCTTGTTCCTCTCCTCTAAACAAAAACCGAAATCAGCATACCTACGAACTACTAAAGGGAAGCAACCTTATTCACAGACTTATTGCCCTGCTGTCTCACGGTAAGATGCCCTCCAGCAACAACCATGCGCTATCGCCCCGCCAGAGTCCATTGACAGTTCAAGACATGTTGAACCTTGCGGCTCTCCTATGTTGCCAAGCGCTGCCATCTGCGATATCTTTCAAGACAGCTGAGCGGTAGTACCGCTTCAATGCTAGACTAGGACTACGTGTTTGCTCAGCAACCATTTGAGTGGGGGAGACCGAGACATGGCTGGCAGTTTCGCGCATGAAATGTTCGTTGACGTTGGATGCCCCGCCTGGAGCTCAAAAAAGTTCGACGTCAATACACGGCTGCTAGCCCTGCCAGTCTTACCTATCCTTCCCCAATCTCTACATCCCCATTGCCCCCCTAGTCTACAAGCTGATGTATTCGGCGGTTTGTCAGAAACCTTCCTAATCTGTTTTCAAAGCTGGACACCCCCTCTAAATCCCTCAACTACCCTTCAAATACCACAGACCCTGTCAGCACTTCCCATTTCCTTCGTCCGAAGTCCGTACGTAGCTCGTTCGTTCACTTTGCAGCTCAGCATCCACCACGGCACCTACATTATCAGACGGCGCATACTAACATACGAGGCCGAACCACAGTCACACATCATCTACAATGGCTACTGCGCTTGACCATCTTGAGGGCGGCGGTCGCATTGACTGGCTCGCGTCGCTCAACACCGCTTTCCAGCCCGAGAAGAACTTGCGCCGAACCTCGATCATCTGCACAATCGGACCCAAGACCAACTCCCCCGAGGCCATCAACAAGCTCCGGAAGGCTGGCCTCAACGTTGTGCGCATGAACTTCTCCCACGGAAGCTACGAGTACCATCAGTCCGTCATCGACAATGCCCGGGAGGCCGAGAGGACCCAGCCCGGTCGCCAGATTGCCATTGCCCTCGACACCAAGGGCCCAGAGATCCGGACGGGTAACACCAAGGATGACCAGGATCTTCCCATTGCTGCCGGCAAGGTCCTCAACATCACCACGGATGACAAGTACGCAACAGCATGTGACACGGACAACATGTAAGCCCACCACGCTCCCCCATTGTGTTCGTGTGAGACATGTGCTGAAGCTGCATGGATTAGGTACGTTGACTACAAGAACATCACCAAGGTGATCCAGCCTGGCCGCATCATCTACGTCGATGACGGCGTGCTCGCTTTCGACGTGCTTGAGATCGTCGACGACAAGACCATCAAGGTCAAGTGCCGCAACAACGGCTTCATCTCGTCCAAGAAGGGTGTCAACCTTCCCAACACCGACGTCGATCTGCCCGCTCTGTCCGACAAGGACAAGGCCGACCTCAAGTTCGGTGTCAAGAACAACGTCGACATGGTCTTTGCCTCGTTTATCCGCCGCGCAGAGGACATCAAGGACATCCGTGCCGTCCTTGGCCCCGAGGGCAAGCACATCCAGATCATCGCCAAGATTGAGAACAGACAAGGCCTCAACAACTTTGCCGAGATTCTGGGGGAAACCGACGGTGTCATGGTTGCTCGTGGTGATCTCGGTATCGAGATCCCCGCCGCCGAGGTGTTTGCGGCCCAGAAGAAGATGATTGCCATGTGCAACATCGCCGGCAAGCCCGTCATCTGCGCTACTCAGATGCTCGAGTCCATGATCAAGAACCCCCGT